ATATTTGATGGTGTAAGTAATAACAAAGAAGTGGTGTACATATGGTTTTCATATCCTATTAATGCTCTACGTATTAGAATTTTTCCTCTTGCTCTTGGACCAAATAATCACGCATGTCTTCGAATTGAGTTATTTGGTTGTTTAAGTAGTGAGTTTTTAAATTTTTTGTTTGGCTTCATGTTTCTTACGTGTTCATTAGAACTTTTATTGATGCTTACTTAATGTTTTGTTGAAATATTTTTATAGTATTTTTTATTTTATTTGCTGAATATTTGGCTTGCTCAGTATAGTTACTTATTTAGAAAACAATAATGTTAAATTTTTAATTTTAACCTAAATCTCCTCTTCTCTAATTTACTTTACTCATCAGGATAATCAGAAAAAAACACTAAAGTCACTTTTGAATTGGCAAAGCTAATGTAGCTGTTTTATATATTTGAATATATGTGAAGCTTTTGGTTTTTCTGGTCCAGTTAAAAAAAGTTTGTGTTTAAATTATTTTGCAAATTTTCAAGAGTTTAGTAATATAGAAATTTGTTAGTTTTCAAACTAACTTCCCATCATTTAAATGATGGGAAGTTAGTTTGAAGACCACAAATCTGATCATTATATTCTCTCTTAGAAAATACTCCGCCATATAGTTACTAAAGTTTGTATAAATACAGAAGACTTACATATTTATACAAACTTTAATATTTATATGTCGTAGTATTTTCTAAGAGAGAATATAATGACCAGATTTGTGGTCTTCAAATTAACTTCCCATCAGTTAAATCTTGCTTCTTGTAAGACTTTCGAGATTTATATCCTGGCATATAATATACTTACATTATAAGTATATTATATGCCAGGATATAAATAACTAGCGAGTTATATGTTTATTTCCATATTTATCCATATTGTATATATCCAGTGTTTAATAAATAGTAAACATATGCATAAATTTATAATATGAAAACTTTTTTTCTAGCTTCAGCTATCAACCCCTGCTAAATCTTACAATTTTGTTTGAGCCGCGTTTGTAAAAAGCCTCATATTTAGCTGGGGTCCCGCCTACTTTCTACTTGGAAAAAGTGGCTGAAAATATTGTTATTGTTTTAATGTGGATAATTAGATCCTAAGATTATATACATATATATTTTTCAAACTTGTTACGGTAGAGAGGCCAAAGGTGCAGCTACCTCCCTCAAAATTAAAAAAAAAGTGACTTAATTGAATTAATACAAACTTAAATAATAAAATAATAATTTATATTTTAAACTGATAACTATAAGTTTATCAGGCCTTGAATTTAGTGATCGTGAATTTCAATATCCGGATATATTTCTGGTCATTAAGTTCTTAGTTTATTAAAAACCGTGAACACAGTTTTAATAAAACAGCCAATTTATCATATTTCAAAAATTAATGAAAAAACAAAACAATCAATTTACTAATGCAAAAATAATAACAGTCAAAACTTACATATTTTTAATTATTGTTTTTTTAAACACCAGGTAATTTAGGGATTATAAATGAAAATGAAAAAAAGTTTTAAGACAAAAATTATTATTACTAAAAGTCTGAAAAATTTGCGTGGTAATTTAAAAATCAACCAATAAAAAACTATTCTAAATGCACATTGTATGAAACATTAATATCAACTTTTGTTTTTTGGGAAAAGTTTAAGGAATTATTCATTTAATAATTTAAATGTTTTCAATTAGAAATTAATTATTTAATAATAAAAATAATAAAAAAGATATATTTTTAAATAAGTTATTAGGGTTTTTTTGTTTTGTTTTAAAATAACTATAAAAAGTTTGTATTAGTTTTTATATATTTTTAAACTCTGTCTTTTTTATACATATATGCCAAAGAGTTACAACCATTTAATTTATAAGAAAATATTGAATAAGATTTAAATAAGATACAAAAGTATTTTATATCTTATTTAACAATTTCTTTTACTATTTTACTGCTAAATTCCTTTAGACTGTTGCAATAAAAGGTTGTTTTTTAATAAATATATTGTACTTTATTTTTCTAGTTTTATCTGATTATTTATAAAATGAAAAGAATTAAAGTTTAAATCATAATTTTTAATAATAATAAAAATAATCAAAATGTCTAAGTGTTAGTAATAATAATTTGTTAAAGTGTTAGTAATAGTAATAATAACAAAATGTCAAAGTGTTAGTAATATTTATAGTAATAATTATAAAAATAATAGTAAAAATATGGTTTTACAGTAAGATTTTATATCATAATTCAAGATCAACATAAGGATAAGGATTTTTTTTTTGAATAACAGCTATTGAGTTTAGTGATCAAAACAGTTTTATGGTTTTTAAAAAGCTAAAAGTTTAAAGACCAGAAGCATTTCCAGCATTTTGCGATCACTTAATTTGAGCCCTGTTTATATTATACACATTTCAGAATATAATTTGTTATTTGTTATCAGTATTCTTATCTACATCTAATTCTATCTGATTCTGTATTAGATGAGTCTTTATTATCACTAATATAAACTTAAAACACTAAAAGCTTTCAACTTTATCCAGTAAACTCAAAGATTTCCTTTTTTTTTTCAATCTAGTAAAGCATATCTATTTAATTATATGTAGCTTGATTGAAAGAATCAAACATCATTTTTCTGCTTTTTTGCATGCATGTTTTTCATGATAAAACATGAGTTTTAAGTTTAATAAGTTCTGTTTCTAGATTTAAGCTGCATTAAACTGTTAAACCATCTGCACCCACTTACCCAGTAAATTGTGAATTTAAGATAATTTTGCCGCAACTGCTTATTCTTTATGAATTAAAACAAGGACTTCTAACTGGTTGTTTATTGATTACGCTTTTAACAAATTTCATACATTTTTTGTATTTTTTCTGGATTGATTGGGTCTTAGTAATTGAATAAATTGCTCTTTGGTATAAATTTTCTCTATTACTTGTTCTACCACCTACTTACCACCTTTTGGTTTATGAAAATGAATATATAATTCATAAAACTTAAAATTAATTAAATTTTTTTTTTTTTTTTTTTTTTATTTGCATTCACTCCCAACAAGGCTGCAAGCAACCACTATTAAGTTGGGAGTTACTAGGAAAAAAAAAGAACAGAGTTATAGAGCAAGGAAACGGTTGACAGAAGACTTGAAAAGTTAAAGGTTATATAAGTCAGGAAAACATGAAGATGGGAGAGAGTTCCAAAGGATTGAAGTGCGAGGAAAAAAACTAGATGAATAAAAGTTTTTAGAGCATGCAGGGACAGATACAGTAAACGAATGAGACTTAGCTGAATGACGAGTAAAACGAGAATGAATTTTAGTTGATGGAACTAGAGATGAAAAATCCTTTGAGCAGTGACCATGATAGTATCTGTAGAAAAGAGAAAGAGATGCAACTTTACGATGATGGGAAAGAGGTTCAAGCTTAGCAGATAGTCCAGGTCCAACAACATTTACAATGCGTTTTTAGACCTTGTCAAGAAGAGAAAGTGAATCGTTAGAAAAACCAGCCCAAATATGACAACAGTATTCCATACAGGGAAGAATAAGAGATTTGTAGAGGTAGAGAATGGAATCAGAAGTAAGGAAATGGCGAGCACGATAAAGAGAAGCAACCTTAGCAGAAGCTAATTTAGCAATCAATTGTATATATGGTTTCCATGAAAGGTCAGTAGTAAGCGATAATCCAAGAAGACGTAAAGAGGAGGACTCAGTAAGAGGATTGCCATTCATTAATATAGGAATGTTGACCATATTACAATAGTTGAGACAACATTCCTGTCACAGTCTTGCAGAATTGTTCTCTCGAACTTTCTTCAATTCTCTCTAAACTATTTAACAAGTGTTTGACTGAGTCTTGTTTTCCGGTAGTTGTTTGCAGTAAGCAACTGGGTTTTTTTAGAGTTGAAATTCACAAGCCACTGTGAACCCCAATCTATTACTGAAGTGAGATCGGATTCAAGATCAGCTGCTTGTTCTAAGCGATCGAAAAGAGAAGACTTTTTGTCAAGACAGGAGTATAAAGTTGAGTCATCAGCAAAAAGAGCTGCTTTAGATGAAAGGTTGTCAGGAAGATCGTTTATGTAGATAAGAAACAAAATAGGGCCCAGGATGGAACCTTGGGGAACCCCGGACGATAATTGGAGGGGTCAGAATTTTCTCCAGAGTTTTTGAATATTAGAACCACAGATGCCATTTTCCAACAAGCAGGAAAATAAGACTCAGTCAAACACTTGTTAAATAGTTTAGAGAGAATTGAAGAAAGTTCTGGAGAACAATTCTGCAAGACTGTAACAAGAATGTTGTCTGAACCACAAGCTGTAGACAAGTTTAATTGAGATATGACTTTAGCAACAGAAGCCGGAGTGATTTGAATGTCTAACAATGGGTCAACCTGTTTGACTGGAATGGAAGGAAGAGAATGTCCATAAGATTCAAGAGTGGAATTAGAAGAAAAGTTCTTTGCAAACAGTTCTGCCTTATCCTTGGGAGAGGTAACAAGATCAGTCCCATGAATGAGAGATGGAATGTTAGATCTACCCTTGTTAACAATGCTGTTGAAGATTTTCCAAAAGTCTTTAGAGCCTAACTTCTGCGATAAGATGCGAGATTTAGTGAACTGAGAATAATGGAGTTTAGCATCAGAAAGCACCTTTTTACATCGATTTCTTGCAATAATAAATAGCCGTTTGTTCTCAAGAGAGTTGTTCTTTTGAAAAAGATGAAAAAAATGATTACGATTGGATATAGCAGCCGCACAAGAAGGAGAAAACCATGGAGTAGAATGAGGCTTGACTTGAAACCGACGAGAAGGAATAAAAGCTTCCATTCCAGCCTGAATCCAGGAGGTTACGTAGGAGGCGCATTTGTCAGCTGAGAGAGAAAAAACATCAGCCCAAGGACCATCACGAAGAAAATCACGAAAGGAATCCCAGTCCGCTTTAGGGTAGTAGTAGGTGGTGCGATGATAAGGTGAGCCCAAAAAAGAAGTACGGGATGAAAGATTTATAGAGATCATTGCATGGTCAGAACCATCTAAGGGAGAAAAGGGAGAAACTGAACATAAGCTAGGCGCAGAAACAAGACATAAGTCAAGGAGTGAAGGTAAATGATTAGGGTTGTCAGGAAAACGAGTCACAAAGTTTACTATCTGAGTAAGAGATTGAGAAACGCAGAAGTTAAAGGCTTTAGTGCCAGCAGGATCAGTGGTGTTAGAGCCAAGCCATTCAGTGTGATGGGCATTAAAATCACCAACAACAACAATATTGGCAGAGGGGTAAAGAGAGAGGGCATGGTCGATTTGATCAGAGATAACATCTAAAAAAGTGCAATCATGGGAAGAAGGAGAACGATAAAGAACAAAGAAAAAGGTGATAGAGTGAAGAGGTGCTAGGCGAAAGCACATAAAAGAATGGTCAAAGGATTCGAACTTGATTTCACGACAAATAGGGGAATTAATGCGTATGTATACCCCTAAACCTAGCATGTGACTATTGGAGTCTTTACGAATCAAAGGATAGTACCCATCAACACTGACATCTGAAGAAGGAATTGCAGAACTTAAATTTGTTTCACTGAGTGCAAGCAAGTCTGGTGAATTTTGCAGGAGGTAAGACTCAACTGATGGAAAGTTGCTTCGTAGACCGCGAATATTTGTAAAAGATATATTAAAATATTTAGGTGGTGGGGATGGTTTTTTAGGTTTTAAATTTTTGGTTACTTTGGTCATGATTTGGGTTTAATGAGAACTTGACTCATTCATAGATAGAGCACAGCCTCCTAATCAATGAGCTATGCAGTTAACTTAGTCCTGTTAATTAACCCTAAGCCGTGACATAGGGCTCCTTATGTGGCCTTGACAATGCACACCAAAAGCATTAACAGGGACACCATCCATGCGCAACATGGCACTGTTAATACTCGGATATTTTGCAGCTGTTGGTGGAATCAGCCTCTCTGAGAGCTACCACAGAGTTCGGGAAACCTTACTACCAGCCGGCCTCAGAACCATTAAACTGAGTTTTAGAGCTGTACCCTCATATGGAGATAACAGGACGAGTTGCATAGCCATAATCAAGGAGGCATAAGCAAAATTCTATGAGTAGAGTCAAGGAGATCCAGCATTCATCATCCTAGGCAGGAAACAATGTAACACAGGTTACATCTACGCCAGCCTAATAGATGAAGAAGGGGCTCGAGGCTGGTTAGCAGAATTTTTCTGCTTACCCCTAAAGTCTTTGCCTAGGAGGCTTTCTACAAGACAGTAGCTGGATGCAGTTAACATCTGCCCAAGATAAGTGTTTTTATCGAGACACCATCTCTAGCCTTTACTCAACCAAGAGCCCCAAGGCAGGGGAATTTTTAGTCAGAGTTTATTTCTCCTAGCCTTTGCATAAGAAGAGCACACTCTGCAAGGCAGCAGGGCTTGTGGCAGATGGTACTGAGTTAGGTGATACCAGTAGCAAGATTGATCTCGATTATCCTGACCTGACCTGGAGTAGTTAAAAGGAGTTACTTCCCACAACAGTACTTGGAGAAAACCAGGCATGACATTTTGGAAGTGCATTAGGAAAAACACTGCATCTAACAAAATACAGGAGTCTAAGGTGAGTGTACGTTTTGTAGTTGGAGTAAGTAGTTAGTTACTGAGCTCACGCTGCATTAGAGTATAAACAGAACACAAACAAACATAAATCAACTTACGGGTGAGTCAACACCGCGCCAAAGGTTCAGACAGAACACAAACATACATAAAAAAACATAAACATAAACATAAACATAAAGTAACTTACGGGTGAGCAAACACCGCGCCAGAGGTTCAGACAGAACACAGACATACATAAAGAACATAAAGTAACTTACGGGTGAGCGAACACCGCTCCAGAGGTTCAGACAGAACACAAACATACATATAACGTAGATTACAGGTGAGCTAATACAGTAACTAAGGCACCTCCAACTATATGGGAAAAAAAAAAAATATTACTATAGGCATGACTGTTATAAGATAGTACTGATGACAGGAAGAACACTCCTTCCAGCCTTTGCTTAGATAGCAAATCCTGCAAGGCAGCAGAACATGGAACAGGTTGCACTGGATTACATGTTACCAGTAGCAGGATGATCATGAAGACCATACTCCTGACCTGAGACAATAAAGGGTCATCTATGAATTATGTACACCAAAAATTTAGAAATTTGATCCCTCCCTCCTGTTTCCATGCATACTTTTAAGTCCTCCCCCCTCTCTAAAAAGTGTGCATGCTTTGTAAACCCCTGCCCCCTTTTTTTTTTTTTTTTTTTTATTTTTTCTTTTTTTATAATTAAAAACGTTTTAATTTAGAAAAAATTAAGAAATATTTTTTTAAATTAGACTGTGCCTCTTATAAAGTTGATCATACCCACCCAATCCTTCCACTACTTTATCAAATGCTTTTTGCAGATCCCTCCTCCCCCTAATTCCCTTAGATATTTGAAAATCACACTCTTTGGTGGGTGAGATAACCCTCCATCTTAAAATTGTCTTTGTATATATATATATGTGTGTGTGTTTATGTAACTAATATATATCTTAATAAAGTTAATTTACACACTAACATGTAAGTTTGTTTGGCTGAGAGGTTAATTTAAATGATTCTGCAACAGAGACCTGAGGTCATATCGCAGTCAAGTTATTAATTTTTTAATTTGTTTTAATTATGACTCAAATAAAAATAAACTTTACTTTAGGCTGACATTTTTTCAGGCACCTCTCTTTAATAAGTCTGAAAAAAAAACAAGTCTTATGCGAGATCAGTAATATTGAAGCAAAACCTAGCAGTAAACTTTGGGGCTCTAATGGCAGCTTTTTTTTTTTTGGGGGGGGGGGTCTCTGACCCATCTGCCCTAAAACTGTTTTTTGATGACTCAAAAAAAAAGGGTTGCCTGGAATATAAGTCTCCCTTACTCAGAGCCAGTGTATAAGGGGTGGCATGTGTGTGCATAGAGGGGCACTATACCCTGACTTCCCTATACCATACATCTTTTTATGTTGGCAAATTAGGATCTTTAGTCAGAAAATTAACTTTTTTATTGGTGAGTTATGGTGTTATGGAAGTAACAACTATAACCACTCAAGCGTATAATAACAACCAATAGAAACAATTCAAACAAACTATTTCTAGTGAAGCAAAGCATTCGATTAGATTAAAACGTGAAAAGCCTAAACAGACTAGAACAGTTAGACCTGCACTAGTTGCCATGCTTGAGCCTTTGTCAAATAGTATGGTAATGTTTCTTTCATTTTCATAGAGTTATAATAATGTTTGACCCATTATTTAGCTATCAACTCTTGTTCCATCTAATTTTATTGCAATTCTTCCCTCAGTTACATTTTTTTTAATGTACCTTTTCCTTATTGTTTTAAAAACATTTATTTGTTTTTTTTTACCTCCTATATCCATGCTTTGGAGTTTTCCCCCATTATATTTTCTTTTTACTCATTTCAATTGATAATTTTTTAAATCTATTTCCTAACGCCAAACTTAAACAAAAGGATACTTCATGCATCAATGTTTTGGAGTTTTCTTTTATCATATTTTTTTTACTCATTACAAGTTACATTTTTTAAAGTCTTTTTTCGTAACCCCAAATTAAACAAAGAGGTAAATTGATGTCTACTTGTTAAGTAGCAGTAAAAAAAAGTTATTTTTTTTCATTCACCATTTCACCATTTTTTTCCACAAATTAATTGCAATAAAAAGTATACTTTTTAATTTATAGTGAAAAATATTTTTTTTATAATTATGTAATGTATAATATATTATATAAAACATATAAAATTTGATTATTAAATTTTTAAATATTTCTGTTATTTTAAAGTTTTTAAGGTTTAATGATTGTGTTTACACACTTGTGTGGCTTAGTGTCTGTAATGCCATTTTCTTATTTAAGTATAACATTATTATTATTATTATTATTTTATTGTTATTTAGGTGCCCTAAGAAGACCTAACGGTCTTGTCACAGAACACCGCGGAAGTGGATTTAACCAGGAAGTTTACGCCCCCTTCCTTACTGTGACGCGAAAATATGTCCAAGGCTTGTTTCGAACCTGGATCTCCTGCTTATAAAGCAAGCGCTCTAACCACTGCGCCACGGCCGCACATATTGAAATACATTATGAAAGCGTTAAAACAATTTTTTACAACCTGTTGCCCTTCCAAACATCCTATTTTGCAGATCAGAAATTTATGGTGTTGTATTTTTAATGTAATGCTACTACTAGGAAAATGATCATTCATGATTTTAACCCTCACCCAAAAAATTGAAAAAACTCAATGGGGTTTTATATTAAAGTTTTCATTTTCAATTTTTTTTTTTTTTACTTTTTTTTTGTAGATTCAATTTAGTATTCATATTTTTTCTTTTTTATGATTATTTTGGCGAGTCTCAAGTAGCAAGTTTAAATTTATAATTTAATTCAAAATTTTATGTAATCCAGTACTTGCACCTGCCAAATAAATTGGGAGAGAGGCAATGTTTTATAATTTTTTAGTTTTTTCCCTACCTCCCCAGACTTTATTAGGGCCCTCCTTTTTGTTTATCAATATTGAAGAAATGTAAAATAGTTTTGCAATTTTTCTACTTAAAAATAAGATTTTTTTTTATCTCCATCATAGCTTAAAATTTGTAAAACCAACTCTGAAACTTTTTTTAAAAGTTTTGGAGTTTTTAATTTTAAAAAAGTTTTTTAGCTTAAAAAAAATCTTCACAAATGAAATTTTTTTTGTAAAGAAAATTATTTTGTTATTTACTGAAACCATTAAAAAAAAAATTCTTTGTGGAGAGAAGGATAAATATTCTAAGGCTGTTTTCATGTTTTTAGAAACTTTAAGTTTTTTTAAAATTATTAAACTATCTATTTAGTAAGATCACACTCCCCCCATTTTTTTGTTAGATGAGAGTAAGTCATAATTTATCATTTTTGGTTTCTATTTTTATTTCATTTGTTTAAGTTGCCAGTAAATTATTAAAGTACAAAAAATTTGAATTTTAGCGTGTTTTTTTTTTAATTTGTTTAGTTGCTTGTATTTTAATTTATACAGATCCTTTAGAAGAAATTGGAATGGAAAGTCAAATAATTTTAGGCTCACAGATTTCTATAAGTTCAAAATCAAATGGTGATAGATTACAAACACGCATGTATTTAGAATCTGGTAATTTTTATTCCAAAAATAAACAAGATCTGTATATAGAAATTGATATGAAACATGTGATGAGTATTATTGGTGTGGCAATAAAAGGTTCTAATAGCCATAGCAGTAATGTTGTTCAAAGTTATTTGGTTTTTATTGGTACGAAAGATAATTTAGATAAAGAATTAGTTGGTGTAAGTTGTTCATTTTTTAAACACATGTTTTTGCAAAATGATTTTTAAATGTTTTATGACTCAATTAAATTAATAATAATATTGGATGAGTTTTGTTTTTCATTTACTAAATGACACCTAGGTTTTTGACCTAATCAAGTGTTAGAACATCACTGTTTTAGAACATTAACTAATATTTTCAACATTTGTAAATTAAAACTATTAAGCTATATTTTTATAAAAAAGTAAAAAATTATTCTTTATGAAGTAATTTTATTTATATTGATTAAATATGGCTCCTATAAATAAAAATCTAAAAAATTTTAGTTTTTCATTCACACATTGGGGTGTGGGTCTCTCATTAAATGTGTTAAAGATGGGTTAAAATATTTGTAAAAAAGTTAAAAAGTTAAAGATTTTTCGGATCTTAATTTAGAGGTGTTAAAAAAGTCGAAATTGGAATTGTCATTTGATGTTATGTATTTTCAAGGCATTTGATATATGTATTTATTTTTACGTTTACTGTTTATGGTTTTTTAAGTTTAATGTTTAAGAGTTTCCAGAACACCATTTTTTAGAAAGTTTTCAGAACACCACTTTATTTAAATATAACACTATGGAATAGTGGAACCAAATTTTTATCTGTATGCTTTTAGTTTTTATGATCCCTAATTGCAGGTAAGTACCATTTTTCTTCTAGTAAATATTTTTAGTGTTGTTTCATTCTTTTGCTACTTTCTTTTTTTCTTTTTTTTTTTTTTTTTTTAACATCTTCACTTCCAACAAGGCTGCAAGCAACCACTATAAGAGTTAAAAGTTACTGTAAGAGAAAAGACTAAATCTGTAGAGCAAGATAATGATTGACTGATGACTTACAAGATTGCAAATTATATGAATCAGGAAAGCAAGATGAAGAAAGCGAATTCCAAAGAACTGATGTTCGAGGAAAAAAACTAGAAGAATAAGAGTTTTTGAAGCACTTAGGAACAGTCACAGAAAAAGGATGAGACTTAATTGAATGGCGAGTAACACGAGAATGAATTTTAGTAGATGGCACAAGGGACGCTAGCTCTTTAGAGCAGTGCCCATTATAGTATTTGTAGAAAAGAGAAAGAGAAGCAACATTACGACGATGTGACGAAGGTTGGAGATTGGCTGCCAGAGCAGGTCCAACTATGTTTACAATTCGTTTTTGCACCTTGTCTAAAAGAGAAAGAAGATCATTAGAAGATCCGCCCCAGATGTGGCAACAGTATTCCATACAGGGACGGATTTGAGATTTATAGAGATAGAGAATAGAATCTGGAGTAAGAAAGTGTCGAGCTCGATAAAGAGATGCAACCTTAGCAGATGCTAATTTTGCAATGGATTTGATATACGGTTTAAAAGAAAGATCAGAAGTAAGAGTTAATCCTAGAAGATGAATGGTAGATGACTCATCTAGTACATTACCATTCATAAATATAGGAAGATCTAAATTATTACGATAACGATTGGCTGAATAAAATTGTGTTTTATCTGAGTTAAAGTTCACCAGCCACTGTGAGCCCCATGCTGTAGCAGAAGTGAGATCCTTTTCAAGCTCAGATACCCCCTCCAAGCAATCAGAGAGTGTAGGCTTCTTATCATGACAAGAGTAAATGGTAGTGTCGTCAGCGAATAATGCCACCTTAGATGTGAGAATATCTGGAAGATCGTTAATGTAAATTAAAAAGAGTATAGGGCCAAGGATTGAACCTTGAGGAACCCCTGAAGTTACAGGATGTGAAGAAGAGTGTTGTCCATCGAGGACAACTTTTATACTACGATTGGAAAGAAAGGACTCAATAATCTTAAAGACGTTACCAGCTACACCATAAGAAGAAAGCTTATGGAGAAGACCAGCATGCCAAACTTTATCAAAAGCTTTAGAAATGTCAAGTGCGATAGCCTTAACCTCTCTACCTCTATCTAATGCACGGTAAAGCCTATCGGTTATTACTGTTAGCACATCAGCTGTAGAACGAGAAGACCGAAATCCATATTGATGATCAGAAAGTAAGTAATTTGATTCAAGATGAGAGATTAAGTGTTTGTTGATTAAAGATTCAAAAACCTTGCTTATGACAGGAAGAAGACTAATGGGACGGTAGTTAGATGAATCAGATCGCTCTCCGGAATTTTTGAAAATAGGGATAACTGATGCTGCTTTCCAGCATGATGGAAAACAAGACTCTGATAAGCACTTGTTAAATAGTTTAGAAAGTATGGATGAAAGCTCCGGAGAACACCTCTGCAAGACTACAACAGGAATGTTGTCAGGACCACAAGCTGTTGAAGAGTCTAAGCAGGAAATTACTTTAGATACAGAAGCTGAAGTGATGCGAATGTCAAGCAAGGGATCAACCTGTTTGACGGCTATGTCAGGTAAAACGCAATTAGTGGAATCAAGAGATGATATTGAAGAAAAGTTTTTAGCAAACAACTCAGCTTTGTCTTTAGGTGAGGTGACAAAGTCTGAACCATACAAGAGAGAAGGAATAACAGATTTGCCCTTATTATTGATACTGTTAAAGATTCTCCAGAAGTCTCGAGCCTAATTTTTGTGATGAGATACGAGATTTAATGACCTGGGAATAGCGAGCTTTGGCGTCAGACAAAACCTTTTTACAATGGTTTCTGGCGATAGTGAACAGATATCTGTTTTCTGGAGAATTGTTTTGCTGATAGATATGGAAGTAACGGTTTCGATTAGAAATTGCTGCAGCGCAATGTGAGGTAAACCAAGGAGAAGAGTGAGGCTTGACCTGGAATCGTCGAGAGGGAATAAAAGATTCCATGCCAGCCTGAATCCACGAAGTTATGTAAGAAGCACATTTGTCAGCAGGAAGACGAAAGATTTCTACCCAAGGGCCATCACGAAGAAAATCACGGAAAGAGTCCCAGTCAGCTTTAAGGTAGTTGTATGTGGTACGATGATAGGGGGATCCTGATGAAGTAGAAGAATTTGATAATAGTTTTAGAGAGATCAAACCGTGATCAGAAGTACCTAAGGGTGAATGTGGAGAAATTGAGCACTGACTAGGATCCAAAACAAGACATAAGTCGAGTAGAGAAGGTAAATGATTAGGGTTGTCTGGAAAACGAGTTGGAAAGTTGACCATTTGAGTTAGAGATTGAGAAAGGCAAAAGTTGAGGGCCTTAATGCCAGCAGAGTCACTGACACTAGAGCCAAGCCAATCGGTGTGATGGGCATTAAAGTCACCAACAACGACGATATTGGCCGATGGATAAAGAGAGAGGGCTTGGTCAATTTGATCAGAATCAACATCAAGAATAGTGCAATCTTGGGATGAAGGAGAGCGATATAGAACAAAGAGAAAGGCGATAGAGTGAAGTTGTGCTAAACGAAAGCACATAAATGAATAGTCTGTAGATTTAAACCTAGTTTCACGACAAATGGGTGAGTTCTTACGAATGTAGATGCCCAGGCCAAGCATGTGATTATTGGAGTCTTTACGAATTAAAGGAAGATAACCATCAACACTAAGATCACAAGATGGGACAGCCGAACTCAAATTAGTCTCACAAAGAGCAAGTAGGTCTGGTGAACTTTGCAAGAGATAAGACTCAACAGAAGAAAAGTTACTTCGAAGACCACGAATATTAGTAAATGATAGGTTTAGAGAACTTGGTGATGACGATGGTTTTTTGTGTTTTTTAGTTTTAGGTACTTTAGTCATTTTAAATTTATAAAGAACTTGACTCAAGTATAGATAGTACTTAGTACACTATTTAACAACTAAGCAAAAGCCTCATTACTATTAATAAACCCTAAGCCGTAACAAAGGGCTCCAAATGTGGCCTCTGCAATGCACACCAAAAGTACAAACAGGGACACCATCCATGCGCAACATGGCACTGTTAGTACTCTGATATTTTTCGGCTGTTGATGGAATCAGCCTCTCTGAGAGCTACCTATATATATATATATATATATATATATATATATATATATATATATATATATATATATATATATATATATATATATATATATATATATATATATATAAATATATATATATATATATATATATATCACATCACAGCAGATGTAGAAAAACTATAATTTTACATGACATATCACTTCACAAAACTTTATTTATGTATCAAAACCTCAAAAAACTGTTTTTACACATCACAACTGAATCCATGAGTCAGCAAACTTCATGAGAAAACGTTACCTCGTTTTATGGTAAAGTAATTTTAGATTATTTTGAAATAAAAAACATTTATCAAACATTTTGAATTAGGTCATTTTCTTTTCTACTTTGGATTCAGCACCTTCAAAAATGGTCAGGTACCAATTTTCAGTCAGTTTCTTCTACAAAAACTTAAATTATTTACACATAAACTATTGCTAAAAAATCTTCAATAGAGAATTTGAGTCCAAATAAGGAATTTTTTGTACAAGCTTAAAAATGACATATCTAAATTATTCTTCAAGAAACTAAAACCATCTTGGGAAAAAAAATAGAATCCATGTGACTTAGGCAACTCTGAGAGTTAATATATGCGCAACCCATAGTAACAGAACAAAAAGTTTGACTGACCATTTTAAAATCAAAAAATAATCATCAAAAAATTTTAATTTTATTATTTTCTTGACATTTTTGAATTCATCACATTCAATTTCAATCCATTTTGAATTCATCACATTCAAAAATGGTCAGGTACCAATTATTGGCCTCATTCCTCCAATAGATCTTAAATTATTCATTAAAAAGTACTACTACAAAGTCCATAATGGCGGTTGTGCAAAAAAATAGGGCATTTTAGGCTGAATTTTAAAATGTCATACCTTTTGAACCGTTTGAATTTAGGAGCTCAAACTTTACATTTTTTCATGTTACATTGATAGGTACCACTGCTTTAAGTTTAAAAGAAATCTGAGAGGGTGACAGAAAAGTTTCAATTTTTTGTCCCACTTTTACATGGAATTACACTATTTATACTTATATTTTTAATAATTGTGTTTTTAGGAGTATCCTGGTAACTCTCAATTAGGTTACTCTCCTGTATTGTCATCTCTGAATACTACAAAATTTGGCAGACATATTAAAATTGTTAGTAAAAATAAAAATGGTGATCGCTATATGGCTATTGAAGTTTATGGAAAGCGTCAAAGTAAAAATTTATTGTTATTTAATCAATATCTTTTTATTTTTTTTTTATTAAAAGAAATCATTAAACCTTTAATTTGAAATTAATTTGAATTTTAAATAATAGTTTTAAATAATAGTAAATTTAATTCTTTTTTAACAAAAGGCTTTAACATTGCAATGTAAGTTTGTAATGTGTATCCTAGAGAAAAATAATTAAATCTATTAAGCACTTAGTAAAGTGTATTAGTAAAATATTGTTAGTTACTAGCTCTTTAAAAACTTGTTTATATTAGTCAGTTTTAATCAGAAGTTAGTAATAAGTAATTAGTTATAATTACTAGAAATTAGTAATAATTACTAATTACTAATTAGAAGTTAGTAATAATTACTAGAAATTAGTACTTGGATTTATAGTCTGCACTTAATCAGAAAAAGAAGTTTTATTCAGAATTTAGCAAAAATAATCAACTTTTTAATTCATCTTTTGATCTGATTAGCAGGTTTTAGTCTTCATATTAGTCTTCACAACTGTGTTTATACTTATATATTTTAGTTTTTTTAATTTTATATATTTTTATTTAGATCTTAATTAAAATTAATTACTACCCAATTTAGCTTAGTTAAATTTATTTAGTTAAAGCATTTTAGAGAATTTTTCAAGAAGTAAATGTGAAAATAAAAAAGTTTTAGTTGGTTTTTATATTAGTGAAAATAAATAGGTTTTTATTGGTTTTAGATTTTTTGCAAATTGAAATGTCCACAAAGCATATCACATTTTATCATAACTTTTATTAGACCATATCTTTTTCTATGATGAAATTTGTCAAAATATTTCTATAAATAAAATTTATAATTTTTAAAAAGTTCAGCATGAGCACAAGATATTCAAATGAAAACTATTTTTAGGTAAAACTTATTTTAAAGTCACCAAGTTTTTTATTACCATTAGAGGTAATAAAAAATTTATGAATGATTTGAAGATATTTGGGATTGTTACTTTATTAATTTTGGACATAAAATTTAGGCAATAGATATTTATTTGATAGGCACCCAGGAATTTCAGACTACTAAACAAATATTGTTAATGTGAGAGATGATGCATTTTACATATTATTCTAATTGCAGAGATTTTTAGATAATACTCTTAAATTGCAGAGTACTTTAGATATTACTCTAGTACTCTGACATTATTTCTTATTTAAATTTTCATTTATTGTAATTATATTTATTATAAATAGAATAGTTTCAATTGAATTGGTATAAAAGGTGATGTTTTTTTAATAATAATTAATAGATGAATTTTGAACTTGTAGAAAAAAATGTAAAGCAATGAGATAAATATATCTAAAATAGTTGACTGTACAACTGCAGCAACAGTAATAAAATAATTGTAATAAGCTAAAGTGTTTTATTATTTCCTTTCTTTTGACAATTAAAAGTTTTTGTATATCTATGATTTTTGTATATTAAGATTTTTTGTTAAGGTATAAAAGGTGACAAAATGAATTGACCTATTTTTCATTTCCACTTATTCTTCAGAACCTTTAAAGATATTTTTGTTATACTTAATACACTTTTTTAGTTCATTAGAAATCTTCAAAACTTCAGCTTTACAAATTCGACAAATAGTCACTCCTAAGCAGTTAATGTCTGAGGGAAGAAATGAAATACATAAGAATAATGGAGAATTATTTTTCAAACGAAGAATATTTTGGCAGTTGTGAAGACAAAAATAAAGATTAATAGAGGAGTGTTTAAAAACAAATAAGACAGACAATACACCTAAACAGTACTTACAATAATAAAAAAGAAATTTATTAAACACTAATTTGAATGAAGATATACAACAGGTATATCACCAAACAAGAACTTATAAAACAAAAAATTGATTACAAAAAAAGTATGCATACAAAAATGTAAGGCCTCAGAATGAAAAAAACAACATTGTTGCTGATGTGTAAACATAATTTGTGTAGTGATTAAGTAATAAACATCTCCTCAGGGTCGCGTCTATTATTACTAACGTTTTGATGAGGATCAGCACTAATAACTAGTTTATCCTGTCAGACAAATGTCATTGCCACTTATGCTTTACCATGCAACTCACGCCTATTCCATACTGCAGTAAAAAAGGACTCAATAGAAGTAGCCAAAACCCAACCACCAGTATTTTTTTTTCTAAAGCACCAGTGTTTTTTTGATGATATAATATTAAAAGTGTAGTTCTACTAAACAAACAAAAATAAAAATAACTAAATAATTATATATAAAAATAATTATATATAACTAAATAAACTTACCATACCACCAAAAGAAAACATGAAAACACAATAGATTAAAATTCTAATAAAAACACAAAAATACTAATAAATTTATTATAAAGTCCAAATGAAAAAATTGGTTTTTAAACACTTTGGCGCTGGTTTTGCTTTTTCCCTTGTCCACAATTTTTTTTTAATACCATCATAAATAAGATCAAAATTCATTGATAAATTTCAAATTTAATTTAAAAATATTTTGACATTGTGAAGAGATTTAAAGAAACACTCAGTGCTGGATTACCCATTTGGCCCTACTAGGTCATGGTCTAGGAGCCCCATATAATTAGGGGTCCCCAAAAGTTTTAAAATTGTATTTTTTAATTTGAATAATATTTTAATTTTTTGTTGTGAATTAATTTATAATGCAAACAATTGGATTTAAACATTTATCTTTATTTTATTGTTTATTTATGATATTTATATTACTCTACTTTATTTATAAAAATACCTAAAATATTTCTGTGCAAAGTAATCCTGCAATGTGAGACTTAAAAAATTCCAGAATGTTTAGAAAAAGTGAAATAAATAAATTTCAAAGTATACTTTGAAACTTATTTATAGTTTAATAAATAATAATAAGTAAATAAATTTTAAACTAGTTATTTTAATAACTACTTTGAAATTTATTTACTTTACTGTTATTACTCCTATTGATATTATAATTACTTATTAATTGTTTTTTTATTTTATCCTTAGTATTGTTAAAAATTTGTTTTATATTGTCTATTAGTTTTCCTAGTTCAATTTTTTTAATTGCGCGCGAAAAGTTGATTGCAGCAGTTGTGAACTAAAACTTAAATGTAGTTTAAATCATAACAACAATCCATTGTTCTTTACAGAAGGTAAGTGCTAGTTTCATTTTTATCTTTTATATAACTTTTTATGCTTATATAACTAATGATCTTTTGTATCTAATTTTCTGATTAAGTCAGATTTTATTGGAACATTTTCAATTTTTAATTCAATATGAAAATTGACAGTTATTTGCTGATGCATTATCATAAATTAAACCACAATCTTACCTAAGTCAAACAAAAGAAAACTAGCGTAGGAAAAAAATCAATCATGCTGCTAATTTAGCGAAAATTCTGAAATTAACTTTTTTTTTCCAAGGATCTGTTCCCCCATCTCTATCACCCAAAATTGAAATTGTTAGTAATGAAACTGTAAGAAATTACTTTTATTACTTATTGTATGTTTCATCAAGTTCTAAGTTTTTTGAAATGTATATTTATAGCAGTGTTAGTAAATTTGCAGATTCAATCACAAACAGATAAAATTAATCATTTTAATCAAAAAATCATCATTTTGACAGCAGCGATTCTCCTGCTCATCAAAATGAATCAAAATTTTAGAATGATAGCTGTTCGAATGATCTTGAGCAACACATAGTTAGATCTGATCATCTTACTTGCAGAAATGAATCTACTATTGAGAGACTGTCATACAACCAATCCTGGAAAGAAAGGCAATTTTAATAAAGATTTTTTGGATTAACCTTGGTCAAGAAGAGTGCAAAATCATTCTGGACTGTTTGAGTATTCTTATAGATTTTGCAATACAGAACCCAAAACACTGTATTGTTCAGAGGGCACCTTTTATGGGAAAAAAGTTAATGACGAAAAGTTTTTGTGAGAATGGCTCATTTATTCCCCAACAACTGGTTGTGTGTACTGTTTCCCTTGTAAACTTTTTGTGTTGAAAGAAAAATCAAACCAACTCACTAGCGATGGATTTAATGATTGGAAGAATATTTTTCAAATAATAACAATGAAACAACATGAAAATGGATCTCTTTACAGAGAATGCATGTTGACATATATTGGGAAAAAACAAAGCTCTGTTGTGTGTGACACATTTTAACTTCAATTCCAAGAAGAGCAAAATTACTGCAAAGAAGTATTGAAACGTCTTATACCAGTCATTATAACATTATTGGTGTTCTAGATAATGGGAATTATTTGGGTTTGCTAGAACTTGTGGCTCAGTTTGTTCCATTTTTGAAACATCACATTGCAACATATGCTGACATTAGGGAGAATAAAATTATTTCCCAAATTTAAAGGTAATTACACTATTTTCATTTACTTATGTATAAAATAAGTCCCGTTGGCACTATGTATAAAAAGTTGTTTATATATATTTTAATGTAAGAATTTAATTAATAAGTAAGTTAAAACTTTAATTTTTGCTTTTTGTAAGCCTAAATGTTTTATGCAATCATAATTATGATTTTTCAGGTTTGAAAACAGTTAGGCAAGTACTTGTCAAATGTTTGGAAGAAAAAAAAAAAGCTTAAAAACATTGATGTAGGCAAGACTGTTACCTTTGTTGAATTAAGGAGCTCCTTTGAGTCTACAGATTTGAAAACAGCCAATCCTTAAGACTATTATAAATCAGACATTCTAAAATACTAAAAAAAAACATGATATGACAGATCATGTTGTTGGAATGTAGCAATGAATTGTGTAAAACATTTGGGTAGATTAGATGTGGAATCTAGTTCTTCCAAAAAAATTAAGAGATTTTGTCACAAGCTCTAGATAACAACTACACAGTGGAAATAGTCGGAAAAAAAAATTTGGAACAACAAATTTGAAAAAAAAAACTACATGAAACTATTTAAACTATAATCATCTTTAATCATTATCTTGTCATTTTCTTAAATAGAATCAAGCTGCCATTTTGACCATTTTCTGAGCAATGTTTATCATAATATGCCTAAAATTTTAAGCAGGTTTTCAACTTCAGAATTCAGATTTAACCACAGAGAACTTTTTAGAAAAGCATTACTTAAGCAGAAATGGTGTACTTAAGTCATTAAGTTTAGATTTTATTCATTCGTAATTTATACATATATTTACTATATTAGCAGACACCCACTGGTTAAATTTTGGCCAAAGAAAAAAAACTTGGTAGCTGAGGACTTAATTAAAACTCATAAATGTAATGATGATTGAGGAATTTTGTTTATTAATCTAACTTGTATATCTTCATTAGGATGAATAAGTTTTTTTCCAAAAACATTTTTATGTAGCCTGGGCTGTTTCTTTTTTTGCCCATACAGTTTGAAATTCAGAATGAAGAAGATCAAGGCTTCCAAACATTCTTAGAATTCCTGTATTTACTTTCTTTTTACTTTCGCAGTATAAACATTCATGGATGCCTCCATGGCCAGATAAGCCCATAATCATGTTAGCCAACTTCAAATCCCATACATTATGAAAACCCAGGCCTGAAAACACAGAAACTACCTGAATAATATCTAAAATTTATTTTTTACTCTGATATGTTTCAGAAATATCTTCAACAGTAGCAATAAACTTTACATTCCACACCAGACCCCATATTTTCATCTGATCTGCAGCCTTTACTTCTGTTCTCTATATTATTACTGTTAACTTCAAGATTGTACTCATACTATTGTAGTATAAGAATCTAATGCTCATTCATAATTTTTATTTTTTTAGATTTATTAGAGGTTGCTTGAATGTTTTAAAAGAGATTTTCTGGATTTCTTTTCTGTCTCTGTTGTTTTCAGGATTTTCTTTTCATCAGAGGTTGTCCACGGGTGGCTAAATAAAATCAATCTAAATTTATTTGTTCTATTGGGTGGACACGGAAAAATCTGGTCAACTTTAAACTGAAATTTCTCTAAAACCACGAATGTTTTTTATTTCTTTTATTTTTATAATTAAACGTTACTTCCTTATCTATAATTGGATTATTCTTTTTTTTTGCAAGCATCAAGCCTTCTCAGAAAAGGTTTGTGGTTGCATGCTGTATTTGACCACACATGTAAAAAAAATAATTAGAGCGTTTTAAAAATGTGTTGAATAAACAAATTTGAATTAAAAATTGAAATAAAGTTGAATTAAACAAACCATAAGCTGAAAAAAAATGTGCAAAAAAACTGTGGCCAAGTTGTCAAAAAAAATTGTATGCATAATCATATAAGACATAGAACCTAATGATTAAATGGTAAAAATGTTGTTAGAAAAGATGATCTGCTTTATTTTGTTATACTTTATGGCTTTAGGGTCTTAAATCATTACTTGGTATTAGAAAGAGTCCAACAATGTTCCATATTAGACTAGCCTTAGTAGTAATGAGACTTACTCAAGTCAGTATTTTTTGTAAATAATAAAGGTTATGTTTCTGGCAGCACAGCTATTTCAAAATTTGCTAAAAAGTTTTGACTCCAATCCCCCTTTCTAAAAATGCACCCTAGAACTTTAAAAATGTCTAATTTTTAATTTTTAAATAAACATCTAGCTGATTTTTTTAAATGAATGAAGTACAACTTACAGTTGATATATGACACAGTGTAATGATTGTACTTCTTTTTTTTTAATAAAAACTTTAATTAACTGTAACTATTATAATAAATGAATTATTAACTACATATATTTACTCACATTTATAAATTTTGTCTGTTATTTTTTTTAGTTTGTGGTGATGTATTTATTCCAGCATTTGCTGAAATGTCTTCAAAAGTTAGCTTTACAATAATGGATGCATATATTGATAGCCCATTTTCATGGTGTGCCTTATCTAATGATAGTAAACCGTATATAGTATTTGAGTTGAATCAAGTTTTTGCAATATCAGGTATTAATGTACAAGGTGATTCTAATAGTGATTCATGGGTAACAAAATATCGAGTTTCGTATGGTGTAGTTAAATATAAAATGGAAGAAGATAAGGTTATTTTTTGTTTTTATATAGTGTAATTTATATGTTTTAGTATCTCAAAGTTTAAGTAATATGCGAAGTTACCTATTTCTGAAATTTCTCTATAAATCTTTTTATAATGTTGCAAGTAAGTCTCGATAGGAATGCAAGGAAGGTGGTGTTGCTTTGTAGAAAACTTTGTATAAGTTTAGCAAATCAAAATAGCGCAGTGGTTAGAGCTCTGGATCAGAACCAAGAGAATTGAGGTTCAATGCAGCTATAATATATATAACCCTAAATAAAAAACACTAGTAAAGAAGGAGGAGTAAACTTTCTGGTAAAATAATTCTCTGCATTTTCTGTGATAGGACTGTTAGGAATTCTTGGTGTCCCTTAATAACAGATAATAAAAAGAAAGAAAAACAAAAGATTTTTGAATTTTTTTGAAAATAACTTTAAAATAAAAGATGATTTTAATTTGTTTGTCATATTTCTTTAATTTCTTGTTAGCTTTCTGATATGCTATATATATATATATATATATATATATATATATATATATATATATATATATATATATATATATATATATATATATATATATATATATATATATATATATACGTCAGAAATGAGCTAACATCTAATATAATAACACCGAGCTAATTGTAAAAAAATAATTATAGAAAAAGTTTAAAGTTTGTGCCAATTTTTATTTGACATAATAAAAATTTTTAAAATTGTATGCATTATGTTTGTTAAAAAAAAGTATAATAATTATTAAAAAAAATTAAATAATTATAAAAAAAATCAATATTTGTGCCAATTTTTAATTGACATAATAAATATTTTTTGTTTACATACATTTATTGGTAACAAAATATCAAATTTCGTATGGTGTAATTAAATATAAAATGAAAAGCAATACGGTTTGTACATTTATATTTCATTTTTTTACTTTAATAACATTAATTTATTTTTTATTTCAGTTTTTTATAAAAATTGCAAACAGGCCATTACTGTTTGTAATTTTTATAAACAACTTGGCATTACAAATCAAATATAATCCAAAGCGTTTTGCAGATGATACAAAAATGATTGGAATTATGGAAGATAAAAATGGTGTGATCAATTTGCAAAATGATATTAACTTTATACCAAAATGGTGTAAAACATGGCAAATGTCTTTAGATTTACTCTGTGAGAGTAAATCTAAAGTAATTCACATTGGTAAATAAAATCAAGTTTAACTATTAGGTAAATGGGCATCAATTATCGAAAGAAGAACTTGAAAAAGACTTCAGGGTGGCCACAGTTCCTCTAAAATCATTCAAAGCTCTTTTTTTTCATAAAGCTCTAAAATTCTCTATTATGCTCTAAAAAGATAAAAATATGATCAAATCTCTTCTTTTTTTATTTTTTTAATAACTTGATGGTAGTATAATGTTCAAAATTTATGGTCTGCAAAACTGGTTAATGTCTGAAATGAGGATTGGGTTGTAAGAAGTCAATTTTAGCAAATCCATGTTATCTAATAAAAATGACATTGTTGATCATTGTCCAAACCCCAGTTATGTGGAAACAAAGGTGTTAAACCTATAAAAAAAATCCTTAAAAATCCTTTATTATTAAAAATTTTGTAGTTTTGCGAAAAAAATCTTCTAAATTAAATGCAAAATCTCCTTTAAATATCCTCTTTTTCTTATAAAAGTTTTATGTGGCCACCCTAAACTTGGTAGTAATTATCAAAAAAAGAGTTTGACAATAGGGATGGTAGATTAATCGGTATTTTACACTAACTGATTAACTATTAAATTTTGAAAAAGTAATCGAATAATCAATTAATTTTCGATTAATTTTAGAAAAAATGTTTTCATAACTTAACAAAAAGTAATTTATATTTTTTATAATTTTATTTCTCTTTTCATCAGATATGATCTTAAAAAACATAAATTATTAACGGTATCATCATTTAAGCTATTTCTTAAATTAGTGACAAATAAACCAGCTGCACTAAAATTTCTTTCTGCTTCTATAGAAGATGAGGAAGACTTAGCATGGCATTATAAATCTTTTCTAAAGAACTTGACCTGTTTCCAGTGCTTTTGAGTACTGCAATTTCACGTTTAATGCAAGTCAAAACTTCTTAAGGGGAAGACTTACAAGTTAACCCTTTAGTTTTTCCTGCTGCTGAAGTTGTATTAGATATTATTTCTGCTAACTCTTCAGCTTTAGTTTTTTTTCTTAATGGTTCAGTATTACAAGTAGACTTTTACTCAGGCCTCTACTTCCTCGTGTAGAAATAAACGTAGGTATATTTCTCTAGCAGTTTTAGAAATTTTATATTTATGTGGGTATTTCAAAAGATTATCTGGAAATTCTGGGTCTGATTTATAGTCAGCTGGGTTATGTAAAAAGTACAGTAAACCAGCAATATTACAATTTCTTCTTTCGACAATTCTCTTTGAGACAAAGGTAAATAAATTTTGACCAATGTTAGTATTTTGTTTTTTAAGATTTTGTTGTAAAAACAAAATAGTTTTTATCAGTTTTTATCAGATCACTTTTTTCCATAACACTTAACTCTACAACATGTAGAGCCTTAACAATATCAGAAATGTGTTTTATTTCTTTTTCTTTTAACATTAAATCTGTTCTTGATATATCAACAAGAGCCTTTGCAATAACATTTTATAACTTTAAGGTTTCAACATACTTATTAGAGAATTCCATCTTGTTTTAGTATCCAAAATAGGTTTAAGTTCATTTCCTAAATCTGCTCTACGAATATTTTGAAGGGGATCGTTTTTAAGTGGAGATTTTCTAAAAAGTTTGACTATTTTATGAACCTTCAATATGATAATGCCATAGTTCTCATTAAACTGGATTTCCTGTTAAACAGAGCTAATACTTTCCTCATTCCAGCATTCTTCAGTGTCATTTTCATCATCAAAGTTGGAATCAGATGTTTCATTTTCATTCTCATCACTAATTATTTCTTCTTGAGTTGTTTCTAAGCATTTTTTCTTATAAAGAATATCACATACAGCAAGATGAATTCCATGGCAGTAGCAAAGTTGGTGTGTAATTCCCATTTCTCGTCCCATTTTTTTCATTATTGATGCACTGTCAGTAACACATCCAAAAATATCATTGATCAAATTCAAGCCAAATTCATTTAATTTTTTAATAACAATATTAACAGCTCATAGTGATATTTGTCTGAACAATGTACATTAAGACATAAATACCTTTTAGTTTTATCAGAAGTCCACTCATCAAGAGAAATTGAAAACCTTTCTCCTTTTAATTTTTTTTTTGCTAAAGCTCTTGAACTACTTTTAACTTTATTGAGTTTGCGTAGTTCATAACAATTGTCTTTATAGCATGTCGATCATCAGGGATTTTAAGTCCTTGAGCTTTCCAGCCATTTTTAATATCTTTGCTATTGGCCAAAGTTGCAAAAGGGATACGATCAACAGCAGTTAAACGAGTTAATACATCTTCAGCTTTGCTACCTATATTATTACAATAGGCAGCAATACTTGGCTGTATATTTTTAGACTTCTCTGAAAGAACTTTTGACAAAAAAATTTAATGTTTGTGCTCTAAATGATACAAGAAACTTGAAGTTGATGAATGGAATTTAAGTTCAACTGAACAATGTTTGCACTTGTATGTTGATTTGTCTTAATTTTTCAATAAAAAATGTTTCCAAACTTCAGAGCGGTTTTTTCCAAACGACAATGTAAATGGTGGTCAAGCAGCCGCACTATGAAAAAGCATTATTTTTGTTTGTTTATAATTATATTAGACCAGTTGCCGGATAAAAGTCAACACAACCCTGTGGGCATTTTTACATTCAAAAGGCGTTCAATAGACGTTTTATCAGGACGTTCAGACTTGGTTTTTTTAAGGTACCCAGATGAAATTACCGAAGACGTGCAGAAAAGACATTCAAAAGAACGTCCTATATTGACGTTCAAAACACGTCCTATCTGGACGTTCAAAAGACGACAAAAATGGTTCAGATTTGGTACCCAGATGAAATTTCCAAAGACGTTTTTTAAGGACGTCCCAAAAAAGGCCCGAAAGGACGTTAAAAAGACGTACATACAGAACGATCAATATTTGTCCAGATTTAGTACTACTATATAACTAACAAAAATATATATGTGTGTGTGTGTATATATATATATATATATATATATATATATATATATATATATATATATATATATATATATATATATATATATATATTTATATGTATATATATATATAGTATATATATATATATATTTATATGTATATATATAAATTATATATATATATATATATATATATATATATATATATATACATATATACTATTAAAAACACTTATCTTTCTTCTAAAAATTTATTACTTTGTTCTTTGCCCACTGTTCTTTAAGAACATTGAGCACTCTATTTGTAAAATATACTAACATAATTTATATACATATATATATATATACATATATTAACATATATATATATATATATATATATATATATATATATATATATATATATATATATATATATATATATATGATATGATGTCCACATTTATTTCTTTTTATATTTACTGCATGTAAAAATATACTTCATGTAGCAAAACATTAATGAAATGAAAAAATTATAAAAAGATAAATATATTAATTGTTGCTCTGAAACATTACAATCATAATTTCATATCTTATTAACTTCCAACTAGTCAACTAATAATTTTGGACATAGGATAGCATTGAAAAATATAGTAATGGCCGAAAATATTAATTTTTGAAAAATGCAGCAATTATACTAAAATAATAAATACATAGGATATACTATAAAATTTTATTTTAGTCTAAACGGGTGGATAAACAAAATCCAAAAGTTGTAAAAGACGTTTTTATGGGACATTCAAAAGAACGTCTTTTTTGAGTCCCATATGAACAAATTTTATTTTTCAGAGAAGTGGTTCAAACGGGACTTAAAAAAAAACGTCTTTTGAATGTTTTCTCAGCAATGTTTAAGAAATATTTTTTAAAAGAGAAAAACTGTCTAATTAAGAATAAATATAAATTTGTACAATAGCATTTTTAAACTTTTTTTTAAGAAAAATCTTTAAGAACTATTAAGAGCATCTCTAAAATGTTGTATGATATTAAAAAGGTTTTTGTGTTATAATTAGATTACTTTTTGATTTTTTGTGAAATATTTTATGGCTCTTATCCATCTCTGTTGTTCTTAATTTTTCAAAAGTAGTAGGGTAGTCTATTTATACCTGTCTTTTTAAATATTTGTATGTTTGTATTTGCTGCGTTGTGAAACTCAGTCCAATCAAAAATACTAACTTTTATATAAACAACAGTTTTCATAAAATAATCAAATATACGCAGTAAAATATGAATAACCTATAAAAAATAAATTCAATTCATTTTTGGAAAAAGTCATGCCAGTAAAACATAAAATCTTTTGTTAGTATAAATAATTTTTGGTATAAGTGTGACCAAATATAAATCACTCGAGATAATATAAAAACTTAAACAACATAACAACTTACTTAATGGGCTTTGCATCACAAGATGGATTTGGTTTGGTTTTGTTGTTTAAAGGCTTTTCTCCTTAAGTATTGTACTGTTAGAACTTATTAAACTTAAGTATTGAACTGATTTTTTTTTAATTAAAACCATTTTTAATTCTTTCAACATCCATATACTGATTGTTTGACTATGTGCACATATCACAAAATGCAACTCAGATACATAAATAAAGATTGGTGACTTTTATGCCCATCATATATGGCAGCACTATTACTTATAGATTAAGGAATTTTTATTTATAAGAAACTATTAATTTTTAGTTATTAAATATCTGATTTAAATGATAATCATTAAGTATTTGCTGTATATATTCTCGTGGAATGTTCTCTTGTTAATGGGCCCTTGAATCGTTTTCTTGCATGGAAACACAGAAATTTATAAAGTTACACTAAAATGCAAAACACTGGTTGTTTTTTCTCTGAATTAAGACACTAATTGTTTTTTCTTCAAAAAAATACAGCACTACCAAAAACACGTTGCACTCAGAACTTATCCCCAACATTGGCAAGACTCTACAATTATTACCATTATTAATAACCATTATTACCATCATTAATCACCACATTTTATATAAGTCTAGGAAAAGTTACCATTTAAGAAGCTTTCTTTTCTATAATCACTTTTTTTGCTTTCATTTTAGTATTTCAAAAGAGTTTTTGTATTTTAGTATTTTAAAAGAGTTTTTATAGTTTTTCAATTTTTTATTTCTGAAAAAAAAAATTTTTTTAAGTATAATTAACTGGTCTAAAAAGTTAAAATTAAGAAACAAAAAGGTGTATATATATATATATATATATATTATATATATATATATATATATATATATATATATATATATATATATACATACACACACACATTTATATATAAAAACACATATAAAAATACATTTAAAAAAATAATTTGACTTGTGTGGTTCAACCAATGGTAACAAAAAAGAAACATGTTGGTTTAGGTCTCAATAACAGTTAGATTGCACTATAATCTGCACTTTTTTGTGGTTAATTGCATTTGATTTTTTTTTTTTTTTTGAAATTTAAAATGTTTAGTGCAAAGAGATGCAATAGAGATAGAAACTCAATTTTTTTAGATTAATAATAAAATATGTCGTATGCATGTTTGTAGCACACTCAGATTTTTTAGATATTTCATGACCAGAATTACAAACTTTGTAAATATTTGGGTTTGTTAATGCAAAGTGAAAGTATAATTTTTTCAAAAAATCAAAAATGTACTTTTTGTTCTTAACTTTTTAGTCTGCATACAGTTTAATAAAAGAAATTTATTAAAAAGTTAACACCTCTAATGTACATTGTTTATTAAATTTTCTATTATTTATCTTAAATTATGGTGCGTTTTTTTTTAAATATATTTTATATTATTTGTATTAACAACAAATTTAATCTTGTGGATGAATACTTTGGAATAATAAAAGGAAAGTTTTAGCAAAACTTGATATCTTGTTTATCACATATTATCTTGTCAACTAGATATCTTTGATACATGATCTGATCCTAATACCTAAATAAGGTTTAATAATTATTACTTTATTTACTATTATTTTAATATCTCAACTACTTGAAACTATTTGATAATCAAATTTTGATTTTAATTGTTTACTAGTTTATTTGTTAATTTTTTTCAAGTTTTTTTTTTAGTTTTTTCATTTACTTATTTTTTTAAACAATAGTTTAAAATATATATTGAAATCAAATATAATTAATTTTTTACTAAGTTTAAATTTTAAAATTAAATTTTTATAAGTTTTAAAATTAAATTAATATAAGTTAAAATCTATATTTTACTTCAATATTAGCATACTATTTAATATTTCTAATTATTTCTAAATATGTTAAATTATTCTGAAATACAATTGTGTGATTTCAAAAGTGAACATGATCCACAGGGCAACACCTGTTGCAATTTTAAATTTAATTGTTTTTTATAAAATTTCAAGAGTTAATGTGCATTATTTTGTGAAAATGGTCAGAAAAATTTTACTACTTTTTATTTTTTTTTATTTTTTTTAGAATGAATATACTGGAAGTAAAGGGCGCATATTTCCTTATACTATTAACTGGTTTCCAAGTTTGTACCTAGCAAAGTATATAAAAGTAATGCTTGAATCTTGTAACTACAATTGTTGTATGCGTGTTCATGTTAGAGGGTGCACAAAACGTAAGTTGTATTTATTTGAAGCAAAATAATGATAATGAGTGATATATCATGATAGATAATGAATAGTGTGATAATGAAGCTAATACTCCCTATAACCAAGTCAATCTCACCTTAAAATGACTAAAATGTCATTATAAATTTAAGATAAATAATAAACTAATTAAGATAAATTTTTTTTTGTCTATTGCTTATCAAGCTTAAATTACAAAAAAAAAAAAATATTAGTTTAAATTTTTATGATGTAAAAAAATAAACTACTGCTAAAACCTTTAGATAGCAAGAAAAGGACCTGAATGGGACTTTGTTATAAGGATGCTCCTTTGCTGAATTATAAGTCGTGCATGGATGTATTTCTAAAGAAATACATTTACAACAATGTAATATATGAAAAAAAAGCAAGCAAACTTATGATTAGTTAACTTAGGCAGATACTAACTTTGCATTAGCTATATCGATTTTGTAAAAGGTCAGTTGTGTGAAATAATATAAAAAGTCATAAATACTGAGTATGTTGCCTTTGCTATCATTATGAGAATATCAACTGTATAGTGTTAAGGGTTTCCAGTTATCAATTTAGTTTTGTTTTAGTTAAAATTCACTAGCCACTTTAAGCACTAACTTGTCACAGTAAAGAAATCATATTCAAGATTAAATGCCTTCTAGGTGATCAAAAAAACATAAAAATATAATAATATAAACAGCAAATTGAAAATATAGAGAAATCAGTTGTTGCAAAGTTTACATAAAGAAAATATAATTACTTTTAATTATGTGTCGTTTTTTTAATTAAAAAAAAACGACACGTAAAAGTAGTAAATAAAAAAAAAAAGTTTTTCTAAAAGAAACAAATTTTTTCTTAAACAACAATTTTCAAAAAAACGGAAAAAATTACTACAGTTAAAAAAAGCAGTAACATAAGTTGTTTTTTTTAATTAAGAAATGGGTATTTTTTTAATGTATAAAAAGTTTCTTATAAGTTGGTAATAAATTTAATATTTAAAATTTACTACAAATATATTCATGATCAGTATTTGGTGATTCCCTCTTTTGCCTCTCATAATTGCAAGAACCCTTTTTGGCATACTTTTGATGCATTTTTCAGCCATTTCCTGCTATCTCTTATTATTGTGGTAAATAATTATTTCTACTTAATACACTTTATTTGTAATTTTCTCTAGATATTTGCTTCTTTGGGAGCGCCTAAACAATTTCTATATCTATCAGAACAAAATATTCCATTACTTGATTGACCAGGAAAACCCTTTTGACCTAGAATTTAGGTCAAAAGGGTTTTCCTGGCCAATCAAGTAATGGAATATTTTGTTCTGATAGATATTTTTCAATTGATTTGACCATGTGACATGGTGCTTCGTCCTGCATGAAGGTTTTTTTTTTTCACCTGGACCAAACCATTCTGTCAGTTGCGACAACAATCTTTGTTCCAGGACTTTTTTATATCGTAACTGATTCAATATTCCCTCAACAATATAAAGCCTCCTTATTTCCCTTCCACTTATCACTGACCAGATCTTCACAGAAGTTTGACAGTTTTAATGATGTAGTACAATAAGTGTTTTTCTTCTTTTTTTCTTTTTACTTATTAAACCCTCTTTTACTAGGAAAGTACTCTCATCGCTAAAACATACTTTAAAATATTATACAAAGATTGTTAAGTGAATCTTTAAAGTTTGATATAAGAAAGTAAATATTTTAAAAATATTTACACTATTTTTACCTATTTTCAATAATCTTCTGTTAATTGTTGTTTGCATTTTGTACAGAAACTCACAAAATACTGCATTTTTTGGCAATTTTATGTTGAGAAAAATAAATATTAAAAGTGCTCTGATTTCAGCATTTTTTTGCGGTAACAAGTCCTTTTTTTTTTCTCATAACTAAAATAAATATCACATTTCAGTACTTTAACTGGAAACCCTTTTTTTTCTCATAACTAAAATAAATATCACATTTCAGTACTTTAACTGGAAACCCTTTTTTTTCTCATAACTAAAATAAATATCACATTTCAGTACTTTAACTGGAAACCCTTTTTTTTCTCATAACTAAAATAAATATCACATTTCAGTACTACAGTTGAGAATTTGCGGTGATCATAAGTTTAAAAAAAACAAAAATGTAATACAATTATTTTTACTTTAAAATAAAAAGAAATATTCAAGAAACAATATTTTTACTGATTTAAATAAGTATTTTGAAGATAGTCTCATTGACCAAATTGAAAATCTCAACTTAAGCAAAAAGCAAAACAAGCAAAAAGATTAAAATTAAGATTATACATACAAAATGGCTGTCAAAAGTGACAGTGTAGCCAGTAGCAAAAAAAAAAACGTTGATTTTATGAATTAAAAGTTTATTTCAGACAAAACATGAACTTTCAATAATAAATTTTTATTCTTCATATTAAAAAAAATAGATTAAACTTCAAAATGATCAAAGTTCATAGTTGCCTATAATAATAAATTTTTATTCTTCATATTTAAAAAAAATAGATTAAACTTCAAAATAATCAAAGTTCATAGGTGCCTATAATAAATTGTTTTATGGTCAGACCTTTGTATCAAATAATTTTTGCCGACCTGATGGCAACCTCAAAAAGATTAAGGTCAACAAATTATTGTCGACCTCATTTTTCCTAATTCCAAAGGTTGATATATATATATATATATATATATATATATATATATATATATATATATATATATATATATATATATATATATATATATATATTCTTGCATAGTCGTCTTTGAGTTTTTACCATAAAATGTCAGTTTTAGATTTTTTTACTGAACCTTCAGTCAATGTAGCAGCACTCTGTTAGAAAATAGGCTATTTGTTAGTCGATGTAGCAGCACTTCGTTGCAAGTCAGGCTATTTGTCAGTCGATGTGGCAGCATTACATTGCGAGTCAGGCTATAAAATAGTTGATGTAGCAACACTCCCCCTATGTTTTACAGTTAAAAAATAAAAATAAAATCATTCAGAATGTTTTTATTTTTAAAAAATAAAATAAAAATTTTCAGAATATTTTTTAAAATATTCTAGTCTTTTAATTTGTATATATATATATATATATATATATATATATATATATATAAGAAATGTATATATATATATATATATATATATATATATATATATATATATATATATATATATATATATATATATATATATATATATATATATATATATATATATATACTTTATATATATATGTGTATTGTAAAAGTGTCTCAAAAATACAACTTTTTCCCAGAACCAAAAGGTTCGAAATACATCTTGGTTGTATACCTTTAATAAAAAATGCAAAATTTTAGTCTTTAAACCTTCAGAAAGTGTTTTTATTTTTAAAAAATAAAATAAAAACTTTCAGAATATTTTTTAAAATATTCTAGTCTTTTAATTTGTATATATATATATATATATATATATATATATATATATATATATATATATATATATATATATATATATATATATATATATATATATATATATATATATATATATATATATATATATATATAAGAAATGTATATATATATATATATATATATATATATATATATATATATATATATATATATATATAATATATACTTTATATATATATGTGTATTGTAAAAGTGTCTCAAAAATACAACTTTTTCCCAGAACCAAAAGGTTCGAAATACATCTTGGTTGTATACCTTTAATAAAAAATGCAAAATTTTAGTCTTTAAACCTTCAGAAAGTGTTTTTATTTTTAAAAAATAAAATAAAAACTTTCAGAATATTTTTTAAAATATTCTAGTCTTTTAATTTGTATATATATATATATATATATATATATATATATATATATATATATATATATATATATATACACACACACTTTATATATATACTTTATATATATACTTTATATATATATGTGTATTGTAAATGTGTCTCAAAAATACAACTTTTTCCCAGAACCAAAAGGTTCGAAATACATCTTGGTTGTATACCTTTAATAAAAAATGCAAAATTTTAGTCTTTAAACCTTCAGAAAGTGTTAGGTGTACATTTCCATTTTTCTTCAAAATTCTAATATTTAAATAATAAAACAATCCAAAGAAAAATCAGTTTATTTCGGTTCAAAATATTTTTTGTTTGATTAAAGTGGAAAAAAATTTACATTTAATTTAAAAACTTTTTGCTAAGGAGTTATATTATTCAAATAACTCTTTTTCATTCTTTTATCCACACTTTTTTTATTCTGATTAGCAACCACCATGATGTTTTGTCTCTGATTGATTTTCATTATGACTGTCTTCCAGAAAATCTGGCACTAGACAAATATTTCTTTCAGAGCAGTTGTTTGTACACTGAATATTTGTAACAAAACCTTTAAAAAACTTGAAGCTGGGATGAAGATCTAAAAATTATAATATATTATATTATAAAAATATAAAATATTTTTGCAAATTTGTTTTTGTTAATCTCTGGTTTAATCTCTGGTTTATTTCAAAATAAGAGATATCCTTGGGATTGGGATAATTAATCATTAGGAATTTCTCTTTATTAGTATCCAACGAAATCAATTAAAAACTAATAAAACCAAGAATAATGGTTTAAGAAAGATGGAATATATACATGGTTGTTTTAGTTTAAATCGATTTAAATCAGTTGATTTAAATCATGATTTAAATCAGACAAATAAAAATCATGATTTAAATTGAGTTTTTGATTTTAATTGTTTTTAATGATTATTTATTGATTTAATCTCATAATTCAATCAATTATTAAAATGTCTGGCATAATAATATAATAAAATGTCTGGCAATATTAGATTGGATTTGCTAGTAATAACAATATTTTCAGCCAAGTACCAAGTATGGTATTTTTTCTACTTTCTCTATGCTTTTAGCTACTTTAATAGCTTTGAGATTATTAGATGGTACCTTAATTATGATAGATTACTTCAGAAACCAAAGAATGTAAAATATTGCTAC